TTTATATATTGGTATAGAAATAAAAAATAAAATTTACATATAAAAAACTACATGAAAAGTTATTCGAAATAAGAAGTGTCAATAATATTTTATTTTATCAAATAACCAATGAAAAATGTAGAAATAAACAAAAGTTCCCGCAACTGTTGAAAAAGCAAGTATGACAAATATTTTAGGACGGATGGAGTACAATTTTTGAGGACACGAGAGGTAATCAAGGGACCCTAGGATGGGGATTCCACCTTATTTAATCCATTCCAGCTACCCCAACCTCCAACTCCCTTCCAACTGATCAATAACAATAATTCCTCCAGTCCTAAAAACTTTTCTTGTTTTGAGTTTTTTGGTCAAACAATGGCGCTCTTTGACTATAAATTCAACATAATCTTAAAAACAAATGATATAAAAATTTGATATATCAAAACTATATCGATGAATTCAATTATATTCGATTTATATTATAATTAATTATACTTTTCTCATAACTAGAAAAGATTTTGAGGGCCGCCAGTATAACAAGATCGAGAATCATTCAATTATATTCGATTTATATTATAATCCTGTTTTGATTTTTTTGGTCAAACAATAACACTCTTTGACCAAAAATTAAATACTCCGTATAATCTTAATAAATAAATGAAAAAATTGATATATCAAAACTATATCCTAAGATTAACCCAATTATGTTGAATTTATATCATAATTAAATATACTTTTCACACAATTTGTGGTAAAAAATTGTCACTATTTGACCAAAAAAGTCAAAACAGAAAAAAAATTTTAGGATCGGAGAGAGTATAATTTTGGTACGATTTCTTAATTATGACTAATGTATCTTACACATCAAATCTTATCCTATAATAAAGAAAGTGAAAATTTCAAAAATAACACCTAAATTAGGACCAGAGAGAGTACATTTTTAAGACACATTTTTTCAAACAAGAAAGATTTTAAGGACTTGAAATAGTATGATAAATGTTCATCTTCCTTTGAAATTAAAGAATGGTCACAACCAGTAGGCGTTGCGCAGTTGGCAAGGCAAGGAGTGTCAAGGGGATAAGACTCGAGTTTGATTCCTGACAACTGCGCTGGGAGGCAACTAAGCTAAGCCTAGGGCATCTACAAATACCAGATGCACGCTCTACTCTTTGCCACTAATCTTCGATCAAAGTTCAATTTACCTTCTCTCACTGACCGTACAGTCGGTCTGGCCGGGGGGGGAGGGGGGGGGGGGGGGGGGGGGGGGGGGGGGGCTAACACACCTTCAGCCATTCCCTTACCAATCTGCGATCAAAGTTCAATTTGTTGGTCATGTGTGCATCAAATGTCCTGTGGCAGAGGCTATGTGCGCCAAGTCAGAATCGAATATCGTGGGCGCTTGTGTATTGAATGCACTATAAAACTAGGGTATGCACCTCTTCTAACACCAATTGATTTTAGAAAAGTTGGTAGCGCCTCAAGTCTTACAAGTGGCATTGGAGTCAAGGTCATGAGTTCGATTCTAGGCGGGAACAATTACTGAGGGGAAGATTGTTGGCCATGTGTGCATCAATTGTCCTGTGTCGAAGGTACGTTATGTGTGTCAAATCACAATCGAATGTCGTTGACGCTTGTGTGTTAAATCCATTATAAGACTAAGATATACACTTCTTCTAACATCAATTGGTTTTAAAAGAATTGATAGCGTTGTAGGTTTTATAGTTGCATGACATGTGGTCAAGCTCCAACCATTACCCACAAATTAATACATCCAAATATGTACTTCGTATTACTCTGTATACAAGAAAGCTATCTAGTCGTGTTCCCGCGATATTTTCTCTCTTTCTGTGGCTTATATTATTTGACTACGTCTCACTCTAATGTCTCTATTATGAGCCCTTATTCCAAGCTTCTCATGATATTATTTTTTTTAAATTTATCTTATTTACAAATTGGTAATAAAATAAAAAGTACAAACTGTACCATTTAAAAGTACATCAAAAGTTCTACAAAATAAAATACGATTAGAATTTTTTATTTTATCAAATAGTCAACCAAAACGAGTAAAAAAACAAATTTAAAGGTTATCGAGAAACTGAAATAGCAATTGTTTATTTTGGACGAAGGGAGCATCTCATTTGAAATAAGATACATAATCTAATCTCTTTTAAAATTATTTTCTCTTTTTTACTACTTTTCTTTTCGATCCTATTTACCCAAACAAGGGAAAATCATTTTTTATCTTATTTTTTTCTTTTTCCATTCAAGATTTTGGAACCAAACGCACTGTTAAAAAATTACTCCATCCGACAAAAAATTATCTTTCTGTTTACTATTTACATGATCAAATTTTATTTACTTTATTGGCTTATTTTTGCTATCCATTTGATAACATAATAAAGTCATGTGACTCTACTTTTGTAGATTTTTTTATATAGTTTTTTAATATGTAATACATAGTATTTTTTTTAATTCACATTATTTTTCATATAAAATAAATTAAAAAAACTTTTAGTCAAACAACGCGTACTGAGAAGGGTATAAATATTTCTTAAAATTCGTCATTTTTTTCAACGCGGGTTTCATTTTTTCTTCATTCTTTTTGTGGGAAAAGAGAGTTTGCAGTGCCGCTTTACGCAAGTTTCTTTTGAAAAAAAACTTTAAAGTATGTTTGGTGTGGATAAAAGTTAGTCCTTACATTTTAACCCACCACGAAACAAAATAGTGATTATAGTGATTATAGTAAATAGAACTAAAACATAAGTCATTTTTTAATATAAGATTTAAATTTTTTTTATTCTTCTAAATATACTTAGTAATTAATGTCTAGTGGTGAGAATACTGTCTAGTGATGTTAGACATTTATTTGAATTATGACTAATGAATAATGATCGATAGTACTACATTGAGAAATTAAAATATATAGTCATATATTCAGAAAGTCATTATATTTTAATCCCATTTAAGTAAATTCTTTAAAAAAATACTCCGTGTTTAGATATTTCGATCGAGGACGGAAGAGGAATGGGTAATGGTCGGATTTTGGTATATATCCAAACTCGCCTAACTTAGTTTGGATTTGGGTTTGAGTTTAGCAGGTCAAATTTCAATACTTTTTTTACACTAAAAAATATATCTACTCCTTCTGTTTCAAATTGTTTGCAACATTTCAAACGACGTGTAAAATATAATTTGTTTTAAAACTATTATATTTACAAATCGATAGAAAAATAAAAAATAAAAATTACACCTTTCAAGAATAAATCAAAAGGTCTACAAAACAAGATACGACAAGAAAATTTTATTTTATTAAATGGTTATCTAAAATGAGTGAACAAACAAAATTTATCGAAAGGTCAAAATAGTGACTATGACATTCTTTTTGGAAGGAAGAGAGTATTACGCAAGGAAAAAGCTAGGGGTACCACATGTGATGTACTCTTTTTGTACATCAAAGTATTCACAGGTGCGCACACTCAATGTTTGTACAATGCACATGCATTGAGTATTTGAGTGTTTGTGTGTATCTATGAATGCTTTGATGTATAAATGCGGTACACTAGCGGAACACTTAGCATTCTCCATTATGCAAGGGTTAAGACATTAATATGTTACTCGCCCCACTTAGTAATTAAGACGTTATATCAACTCTACTCTTTTTTACACTTAAAAAAAATATTATGTACATAGTCAGGTTAGGTTAGTCCACAATAAATTCTATGATCCAAATTTGATCTGATTCAGTTCGGTTTAAGTTTCATTTCCTCAATTTGAATTTAAATATATTTTATCTTGGATCGAATTCAAATATTTTAAGGTTTGATCAGTTTAATTAAGGTCAGATTCAGATAAGATTCCCCTAGACCCAACCTTTAACAACTTCTAATGCAATACTTTAACTCTCTCACTCTCTCTCTCTCTCTCTCTTTATATATATATATATATATATATATATATATATATATATATATATATATATATATATATAAAATATTTCAAAAGTATATTTCAAAATAAATCTATTGATACTAAATTTGTACAAAGTATCATAATTTAATATATTGTGTATGTTTTCATTGATAATCGGGGAATTTACTTAAATAGCACTAAACATAATGACTTTTTCTAAATAACATCATATGTGTTTTTTCTTAATGTAGCACCTTTAGTCATTATCCATTAGTCATTATTCAAGTTAATGTTTGCCATCACTAGACATTATTAAATGCTATTTAAAAAATAAATTATATAATTCGCAGTGAAAGGGTGTCACAGTTTGAACAAAAAGTCAAATTGTGGTAGTCTTTTAGAGACCAAGGAAGTACTCCCTCCGTCCTAAAACTTTCTTCCCGTTGCGCAAAACGAAGAAAAATTCCAAGTTTTTTCAATCTATTTTATTTAAATATTGGTATAGAAATAAAAATTAAAACATACATATTTAAAAACTACATCAAAAGTTCAACAAAACAAGTGGTGACAAGAATATTTTATTTTATCATATAGGCCATGAAAAAGCACAAATAAATATAAATTTCCTTAAAGTTGGAATAGTGCTATGGGAAAAAAGTTTAAGAACGGGGGGAGTGTTTTTTTATTTCTATACTACGGAGTAGGGTGTATTTAGAGTTATTTTTAAAATGATGGGATTTTAGAGGTTGTGGAGATGGAGACCGAGAGTTGTCAAAATTTTAAAGGATAAAGCTATTTGTACCCCAACTTTTATACTCCATTTTGTACCCTGCAGGTTTGCACCGACACTTTGTGTTGGTGTAAAATTAATTTTTGTTAATGCACCGACACTTTGTGTCCGTGTAAATTTTTGTTAACGCACCAACACTTGTGTCAGTGTAAACCATCAAAATGTTTGTGTATAACTGCGGTGTACAAATGGGGTACAATTTGTGGTGTAAGTGTAGCATGACCCAATTTTAAAAGAATGAAAATGTATAAACATGACACGCGTCCCTCACTTGTTTAACTACCATTGTACTCATCACTGCACAAGAAACACCATACCGTACCTACCCCCGGCCCAGGAACAGAACCCCCAGTTCATATAATCATCTCTGTCCATGCAGGGCACCTTCTTCCTCTTTCCTACCAGCGCCAGAGCATCTCCCCATGCCTATTTACTGATTCCTTTTCTTTTTCACTCTACAATATACTATTCCAGAAAAGATTTCTTTTTTTTTTCCCTTCTGATTTGGTTTCTCCCAGAAAAGATGAAAGCTTTCATGCTGGGTGGTGGGAAATGGAGCCTCCCAAGTGTTTCGGATCTGGAGATACCCGGGTCAAGATTTCCCGGTGGGAAAGTAAACGCCGGAGATGGCTGCGGGTTTCCGGCGTTTCTCCCCAGAGAGGTTCGTGACATTAAAGACCCATCTGCTCGGAGTTTGGCTCGGAGAATCCAAAGGCTTCCAGTTCCGGTCTCTCTTCTTCTTCTTCCTTTTTTTCTTCTTCTTTTTTCCAAATGCATAAAGTAAAACCCCCCCTTTTTGAAATTTGTTTTCTCCTTTTCCCATTTGTTTTAACTTTAATAATGCAGCTCTGGGTAATTATATTTCTCAAGTATTAATGGGTTTATGTCTAGTTCTACTTCAATCCTGTAATGAGACTTCATATAATTAGGGTTAGAAGGAATGATTAGACATGACTTACCACTTTTGGATCTTAGGATACCGCCTTAATTTGGAATCTCTGTAGATCTAGAATTAGAGTACCAAGGTAGATCCATGGGTCTTAATTAGAGTAAACCTTTTTGTTCTTTATGTCTACTTCTTAGAGGCCGTTTATATGTTTTTTTTTGTTCATGCTACACTTGTTTCTTTGTGAATAGTTATGTATTTGAGTCGAGAGTTCTTGAAAAAACAGTCTCTACTTTTTGTAGAATACTCTAATTTTTGTGGGATTTTAGCTGTTTCTTTTGTTGTTGTTGTTGTTGTTGTAATGAGACTGTCCTATAGTAGAAGCATTTTTTCCATATTTTGTGACATAGATTTTGTGATGGTATTGCAGTTTGGGACATCAGAGAGCTCTATAATGAGCAGTTGTGTAAAGCCTGTTGTAAGGAGTGAGAAGGGGCCGGTTGTCCTTCTTCACGGTTTTGACAGGTATGTGCCCCATAACCTCGGGGCGAACCCACCCGAGAAGATCTGGACGGTCCAGATCAGCTCGGGTTGGGATCCGGTGCTTCTCTTTGTATGATGATGATGAAGCCAAGTGCTTGTCTCGATAAGGCCAACGAAGAGTTCGATCTTTGACCGAACATTCTGGCTTGATCGAGACAAGCACACTGTGTTGAGATGTAAAATCCCACTTCAAACAACCAGCCTAACAATATGAGTTAATCTTATCAACGTCGATTGGTTTTTCATGATGAAATTAGCTCATGCTTGGAGTGGAGGTACACATATCCCCTACTTGAGGATGCTGGCCTTGAGGCTTGGGCTATAGATATTCTTGGATGGGGATTCTCTGATTTAGGTTTCTTTTACTGTTAACCTTACTTCTACTCTCATCACTCAAAATAAGTGCCCTTTTTATGCCCCATATGCATTTAGTTTGTTTTTTGTTTCCTTCTTATAGCTATTCTTACTAATACTTTCTTCTTGTCTTGCCATCACAGAAAGATGCCCACCCTGTGATGCTGCATCTAAAAGACACCACCTTTACCAGGTACCCTTTTTGACACATCCATCATCATCATCATCATCATCATCATCTTGCTCTCTAACATTGCCCTCTCCCTCAACTCCAATGGTAGCTATGGAAGTCTTATATTAAAAGGCCTATGATTTTAGTGGGACCAAGCCTCGGTGCAGCAGTTGCTATCGACTTTGCAGTGCATTATCCAGAAGCAGTAAGAATTATCCCATTTCAGATAAATCATATACTCTTAGGGTGTGTTTGGTTGATAAATCTCCCATTAGCTGTGAATATTTGGTTGATGGAAAACCTGTTTCTGAGCAGGTTCATAAACTGGTTCTGATAAATGCAAGCGTTTATGGGAAAGGTACTGAGCGCATGAGAAAGCTGCCTAGAATGGTGGCCTATGGAGGGGTAAAAGTCACCAATCGTTCAAGAAAACTCGAATTATTTCACTTAATTTGACAGTAACTTCTAGTTCAATACTTACAGCACGCCACTGCATGGAGCTAAAGAGGCTTTCTTGTTCAGGTCTTTTTACTGAAGAGCATCCCGTTGCGGACCTACGCTATGTTACAGTGTTTTGAGGGCTTATCTCTAGCCACTACCTTGGATTGGACCAAGGTAATGCACGCCTTTGCATAGGAGCGGTTAATAATCTTCATGCGATTTACAATTGATTCGTTTCCTATCAGGTGGCACGGCTGCATTGCCTCTTACCTTGGTGGGAAGATTGCACGGTTAGTTTTATGCTGAATGGCGGGTATAACGTCGTTGATCAAATTAAAAAGGTAATCCAATCGTCTTTTACATGCCCCTAGCAGTCGTCTTACATAGGAGTAGCTGTAATGAGACTACTGTCCTTCTTACAATGGTAACCACCCTTCTTGGACAGGTGAACAAAAGAACGTTAGTCATTATGGGCATGCGCGATAAGTTAATCAGCAATGAACTTGCAATGGTGAGTTTTCGAGATTTCCCCTTAATCCCTTCGAAAATGAAGTGTTACTGGCATTAGGATGCATCATCAAAATTCATGTTGTTAGTGGTGAGATGAAGTGATGGCATTGTTACCATACAGAGATTGTGCAGAGAGCTTCCAAATGCCATAAGCCATCAGATTCCAAATGGTGGACATATCCCTCATGTTGAGGAACCGCATGTCGCCGCAAAGTTGATTGTTGATTTCGCTCGAGATGGTTGCCCTTCAGAGGAGGGAGGGAGTTCAGTGTGTGAGCTAAATATATGATGGTGGTGGTGGTGATCCATGGTGAAACACTGCATATCATTTTGAGCCATTGAGAGGGAATGTTGTGTTCTTCCTCTGTCTCTCTCATCCAAATCTGAACATGAATAGCACATTTCATTGTCTGTGTGGTGTTTTCACTTCTCAAATGTATGTAATGCATGTGTGTGTGTGTGTGTGTGTATGTACGTATGTGTGAACATATGTATGTGTAATTATGTACACTAGAACTTTGATGCATATTTTAATTAGACTATGGTTGCGTTCCGTTCGCCTAATCTGATCTAATATAATTTGATTTTTTGAAAATCTGATCTGATATGGTCTTATCTAGTCTGATCTGGTTGCAGTTATAATTAAAGTTGTTTCTGATTTAATTTTGTCTGATTATAATAAGAATGAGTAATAAGCAGAAAACACAAGTTGAACGAAATGCTGCCTATATTTAGACACTATTGAGAGTCATAAACACACGTTTTACTCTCTTCATTATTGTGGTTGACAAATAATGTGAATTATTTAACCATACATTGATAAATGGAAATGACGATTTAGAACAAACGAAAAATGAATTGTATAGAAAGTGTTTGGTGACAAAGGGAGGACTATTATTGTGTTGAAAATCCCCATCAATAATATTATGTCTAATAAAATCTTGTACAAAAAGTAGGGAAAGTGGACAACGTGCATACATATTTTACCCCTACAAATCCTACAATACCAAAAGCTCCCAAATGTACATAACATTTCAGTGTTCATAGGACAAAAATATAATCAATGTAAAGTTCGTATTCCCTCTATCCATAAATAAATGTCATGTTTTTCTTATTTGATCGTCTCAAAATAATTGAAATTTTATTTAAGCAAAGAATGAATAGTTCATATTAAAGCATCCCTACTCTTTATTTCAAAATATTTATTTATCAACAACCAATCAAATTTACATACGTAATTTACACCCAATATAAAAATTCTATTTTTAATCCTCTCCCTCAACCTCCCTCATTTTCTTCTACCATTCTTCCTTGTCACCTAAACAAATCCCCTCTAACATCCTTTCCATTGGGATGCTCTTATTTCTCCCTACTCCATAAATTTTCACAAATACAATTTCATTTTTTCTCGTGGACAATTAATTTTTTACTTGGACAACTAAATCCGCACAAAGTAAATTAATACAGCGTAATAACATTGATAATACCTTGGAGTAACTAAAACCGAAAGGTTAAGACAATTTTACACCGTAGGCAAAAATTTAAAAGGAAAATTTAGACGCTGGATGGAGACAACAATTTCACACCCATATCTCTACGCAAAACTTGGCTTCTTGAAACGACGGGGGCAAGAGAAATCAGATTTTTTATAATAAAAAAATGCACTACGATCAAAATGAACTGAAAATATGAAGAGCAAACCCAAAAGCCGGTTTTCGTATCATCTTCTATTTGGCTTCTTAGAGGACTTTTTCCCCTTCCTAATACCCAAATATGCATCATTGTCTTCCTCATCACCACCTCTTCTTCTCTTATGGCCTCCTGATTCTTTTATTTTCTGCAGCAAAAGGTGGAAGTCACTACAGTTCATCTCCCAACTCACGACGCCTCTATCATTTAAACTCTCAAAACACATGGAAATGAATTCTAGTTTATCGCTGGAAATGATACTAAAAAAGGTTAGGGAACAATGGATAGTCAGCTTGACCCTAACCATGGCATAACGATGAGTGGATGACAGCTAAATCGAGAGGAGAGAGTAATGAGTCTAATGACATGTTGATGTGGAAAGTGATTACCATTTGGGAGATTCTTTTGGCTTCGGTGACACGGTCCAAAAATACTAAAACTTCCTCCTCTGGTACAGTGTACTCCGGCAATTTCTTATCTGAGATGCAAAATATATATTACTCCGTATTAATTAGAGCCCAATAGAGACTACATACACATCAGATGGATATAGCTTCCAGATATTACAGAGCAGCCATTTTCTTACCTAGGAGCTTCTCTATCTGCAAATACCACTGCAGCTCATATTGGTTTACAAGGGAAATGGCAACTCCAGATCGACCAGCTCTAGCTGTTCTTCCGACTCTGTGTATGTAATCCTGCAGCCCAATTTGGTAAAAAATAGACCCAAAAAAAGAGTTATTAGCACACACATATAGGTTTTTGTCGGCAGGAATTAGAATGCAGTAACATTAATGTGTTGCCATGTTGGCATACTGGTAACTGTGAAACATTAAAATTTGTAAACATCGAATTGAAAAGCAGTAAATGAGTGAAAGAGAGATGGAAGATGAGATACTTGTGGATAAAGACTATGTCGTTATTGTTTATAGGAATTTAGAAAATCAGTTATAAGTCTCGCCCGTTCACTGGGAGTCATCAACCAAGAAATCTAAACAAGCACAGCATTTGAGTTTGTTGGGATATCATAGTCAAGAAAGGAAAAAGAGGAATAACATTTGGTATGCAAAAACTATCATTGTCTTCCTCAAGTTTGCTCAAAATAACTAGCCCACTATGTTAAGTTACTGGTAGATGCTCAGTCAAAGGCCGAGTAGCAGTAATGACCTTATTTTTCATAGCAAAGTCGAACGTGCCCCAACAACGAATATGTTCTGGAAGAAGATACGGAAGATGGTGTCCTAACAAGAGAAGACGCTAGGCTAAGCAAGAGAAAAGGGTAATAATTGCTTAGTAAAAGGGGTTGCCCCAACAAAAAAGGGGGTGCATTTAGCCCCACCCTAATGAATAATGATACTAGTAAAAAAATTACTTTCTGCATATGCACCGTAGTGCGCACAATAATAACATTAGTTAATTATTTAAATGTCAAGGATGATGAGGTGTCAAAATGAAAAAAAAGGGGGGGATGAAAACGAAGGGCTACAAGCAAGGCTCTTAAAAGATACTCCGTAATTAACATGACCAAACCTAAGAAGAGTGCTAATAATTTTCGCTTTATAAGACTAAAATACTCCGTGTCAAATTTCATAAACAGTTACAGAGGTAAAGGAACAAAGGATTTAATGATTTCACACACTCATGAAGAATAGCAGTAGACAACAATTTTATATGAAAATCGATGATGCCAGACCTTAGAGTTTGATGGGATATCATAGTTAATAACCATATCCACGGATGGGATATCAAGTCCTCGACTTGCAACATCAGTACAAATAAGAATGTTGCACTCGCCAGCTTTGAATTTGTTCAACGCTCCAAGTCTTTTTTCCTGTCACAATTGTTCACAAATTAGTACACGTAGGGTAATTTGAATTCCAGTACACTTTAGGAAGCGTGCAAAACTTGAGTTTAGAATCGAAGCATATGTCAAATGCAATAAAGGATATATATGTAACCTGAGTCATTTGGCCACTAATTGATATGGCATTTAGGCCAAGGTTTCGAAGCATCAAAGCTAAAAGACGAGTTGCATCACATGTACGCGTGAACACCATTGAAGTACTGCTTGACGTCTCAGTCAGTATATAGACAAGATAGCAATCCTGTGACAATGAAGAGTATTTCAACACAATAAAAGACAAATAAGGAAAAGTACAAATGAAATTATTATGGTTCATCTCAAATCTTGGGACAACAGATGGGTGATATTCATCAATTTCAAACTTGATCGACCGGGAATTTCATCAAAAAAAATCATTCAACATCTCACCATCATACTTAGTTCGCCTTACAGCACTCAAAAGCATAGTACATCACTCAGGAGTTACAAACCTTATATTTTGCAGGAAGAAATCGATACTGCTGTTTTAACGTATCAACTGTGGAATATTTTGAGGCTGCCTCAATCTGAAATTCAATGCTAAAGAGTCAGAGTTTATGAGCAAAGCTTTAGAATGCTTATAACCGCGCTAGTGGTCATCTTACCTTTACAGGATTTTTAAGACAAGCCCTTTGAAGTTTACCCACCTGCACCACCCAGAATGACATGTTTATCAGCCTTCTTCACTAATGATGCAGAATTACAGAGTATATGCCATATTACTAGCAATGGTCTATGCTGAAATTGAGGATTATTACCAGGTAGTAAGAAATATATCAATCAAATATAAACCCACAGAAGATTACAAGAAATGAAGAGGATAAACCATTATCATCATTAGCAGACCTTAGTTTCAACTATATTAGGGTTGGTTGCATGAAACTTATAGGGTCAATTAACTGTCTAAAATTAGGTAACACTGCAAAGTCATGCAAAAAAAGTGGCAGCCAAGTGGCCTTCCTATCACAGCCTGTAATGGGGAGAGAATGGCATGAAATCTAGAATGTAGAATCCTGACAGCAATCAGATTTAAATCTATGAAATACACACACTTGAAAAGAGGCAACGTGTGCATGCCGGACAGTTAAGGACATGCCCGAGAAGTGTACACTTTGTTTCTTTTATTCTTTTAATGCGGGAACATGCCAAGAGTCCAAGACACTTCGGAGACACGGCTGAGTGATTAAAAGAAGATGGAGTCACTATTAATAACTTGAAAAGTGGACTGGGATGTTAAAAAAACTCAAAGGAAATTCGCACACACTCTGTCCACTCTACCAAACTTTTGTGTCCTCTTCAATAAAAACGCTACTTAACACATAGTCCCTCCATTATCTTTTAACTGTCCGGTTCGCTTTCTGTACAAAACGTTATACCAAAATATTTCCTATACTATATTAGCAAAAAATTATTTAAAAAATGATATATTAAAAGTATTTTCTATACAAATATTATGGTGAAATTTTGTGTTTTAATTCATTGTATATCTTTATATATAGTTAGTGAACCGTTTGGCACGGGCAGCAATCCGGGCAGTTAAAAAATGGAGGGAGTATCTATTTCTCATTCATCTCTAGCTTAATGAATTATCATAGTCAGGACACACTGACACACTAACTTGGTGAGTCCCTGTGATACCTGTGTTTTATATGTTTAGAAAATGTTGTTTTCCACACCTGTGATACCTGTGTTTTATATGTTTAGATAGTGAATAGCACCAATGTTGAAGGTAGCGTGGTACTCAAATAAAAAAGAGGCACAAGCATATTGAATGTAATGCATAGAAATCACACTAACTACAACTAGCTCTTAAGTGAGGTAAAGGAACTACTCTTCCCTGGTGTAACTTGTTACTCTGGA